TTAATGTCCAAATTTATCTCTCAAAGGTCTCGTTCCACCAGCTATGACACAACAACCTGTACCGACTTCGATGGCGCAGTCAGTTCTACCTGTTGGAATTCCACCACCACCACCACCACCTCAACCATTCGTTATTCCAGGTTCAACTAGTGTTCCTTTACGACCAATAATTTCCAATAATTATCGTCATAATTACTATAATATTCATATCAAATAACAATAACAATCATAATTAAATCTTTTATTACTTTTGAAACAATTTCAAAAATTGTAGCAATTAAAAGCAACTTAATTAACATACCATGAATCTAATTAAATTAAGCTCCGATAGATTAATTTAATGTCTCATAGATTCAAATCAAACTTTAATCCAATGATAATTTCAATCAATTAAGTTTTCTTTTTCTTCTAAAAACAAAACTCAATTGCGAAATCATTTAACTCCAAATTGATTTCACCTTTATAACGTGTTGTTGATTAATAATAATTATTAATTTAGAAATTATTTATTAAATCAACTGATAATTAGAAACCAATCAAATATTTCAAATATACTACTTTAAAGTGTATCTGAAAAAGTTGAAAACAAAATGATGGAAATTAAATTTCAATCAAAATAAAAGCATTTTGATTCTTGATAATATCGATCATTAATCAGCTTAATTGTTACCACAATTTCATCCATCCAATCAGTTAATTAGACAGAGACAAGAAAAAGAGACGAAATTAATCAATAAAATGAAGTTTCTCCCATTCTGTAGATGGCCTTACCTAGAATATCAAATTATCATCTCGACATTAGTTTCTCTCTCTCTCTTTCTCTTTGTCTCTCTAATTTTCATCCCTTTCTCTCTCTCTCTCTCACCATGATGATGATCATCTCTCTTCCTCCTTCCATAAAGTTGTTGTCACCAATTCCGAGGAAACATATGTTTTAATTATTATCAGAGTTTCTCATCCAAAATAAATTTTTTCTTATTCTTTCAATTGAGTTTCTCTTTCAGTGTGAACCTTTTCTTCCTGTTCTTGATTCCATAGACTCTTAGTAATATTTTCCTATGTTAGTCTTTGGTTCTTTGACTGTGTCCACCTCGATTCTCAATTAGATGAACCGTTATAATTTATAAATCGTTTTCTCTTTTTCTTTTTCATCAAATAGTGAAAATTAAGGATTAACCATGATTTTGTTCTGGTGACAATTAACAACCTAAATTACCATTGGAATAATTAAAGATCAATTAATTGCTGCTTCTTTTCACCATAGACAATGATTGCTTTTCATCTGCTGGTCAATTTTGTACTTCCCAATGTAAAATAATTCAGGTATGTTATTGTTACCTTGATATTAACTGAAAACCACTGGTCATTATTGTATTGCTTTTTTTTATAATACTTAATCTTAATTGAAATACTCAATTAGTTTGATTCAAACCCCTTGCTGATTGATTGGAAATGACAATCAACAATTGGGTTACAATTCCCTATGTTGAAGTAAAACGATTTCTCTTGTTAAATAGTAATCAAAAATTTCTTTCATCTCCTTAATCATTTATTCTTGATTGAGAATTAAATGTTTACCTGTTTCATTGTTTTCTCAATGATTAACTTTAATTACTATTAACTTCATCTCCTGTTTCTCTCATTAATTTCATCTTCCTTTTAACTTGTTTATCTTCTTGTCTATCTTTTATCTTCCCTGCAACAGGTATCTACTATTGACAAGGTTAATTTTGACATTGTATCAACCTAATTGGAGTATAAAGGGACCAATAAACAGTGACAATCAATAAAATACAAAACAATCAACTAATAAACGAAGAGATAAAAAGAGAATAGTGAAAACGAATCAAAAAATTGCCAAAAAAATCACTTCAACTGCCAACACTTGACAATACTTACTCGATTGATTGTTGTTACTTTTTTTTACTTCATCTTATTTGTCAATATTATCAATTTGAGTGATCAAAATCAAGGCCTGATATTAAAAGAATCGATTGGTTAATGATGACCGGAAAAAATCAACTTCCCAATCATAGCCCTTCGGCTCCTGATTATGATTATTTGATTAAATTTTTGTCTCTTGGTGATTCGGGAGTGGGTAAGACAAGTTTCCTTTACCAATATACTGATGGTTCATTTGATGGTAAATTTATATCAACCGTTGGAATTGATTTCAGGGAGAAAAGAGTTGTAAGTTAATTGCTTGTTTTAATCATAGTTACGATTGTTTTCTTAACCAATGTAACATTAGTTAATCAATTGTTTCAATTTTCTTAATCAGGTTTATAAGCCACAAAATTTAGACGGAGTTTCAAGGAGAAGTCAACGGATTCACCTTCAACTATGGGACACTGCAGGTCAAGAAAGGTTTGTAATGAAAGGAAAACAATTAACTTGATAAAATTTTGATTCTAATTGTGAAAAATTTACTATCAATCAACAGATTTCGTAGTTTAACAACGGCTTTTTTTCGTGATGCAATGGGCTTCATTTTGATCTTCGATATAACAAGTGAACAATCATTTATCAATATTCGTGGTTGGTTAGATCAATTAAAGACTCATGCTTATTGTAACGATCCCGATGTAATACTTTGTGGTAATAAGGTTGATCTATTTGAGAAACGAGTTGTTTCCGAGGAACGAGCTAAACAAGAGGCACAAAAATATGGGTGAGCAATTAAGTCTCAACAATTAAAACTAATCACTTTCAATAGAAACTTTTTCATTGAATAAATAGTGATCATTTGTATTCACATTAACTGTTATTATTTTATGACAGATGGAAAACATTATAAGGATAAGTTAGTTCAGTGAGACTCAAATCAAACAATAGCTCATCAAAGTTAATTAATTACAGTGTTAACCCATTTGATTAATACACTTGATCATCATCAAAACAATATTTCAATTGGAGTAGCAATTTAAACACTTTCATGGTGAAAGCTACTATGTTAATCAACAATTTGACTGATTGTCCATTATTTTCAAACAAAAAATTAACTCAGCAATTGTTGCCTTAAGCTTCAGTGTTAATTTAGTCTTAATTGTTTAATTGTTGGCTGTTATTTGTATCAATAGGCTTCCTTATTTCGAAACCAGTGCCGCGACTGGTTTGAATGTGGCCAAAGCGATCGACACCTTATTAGATCTTGTTATGGTTCGGATGCAACGAGTGGTCGAAAGTAGTTTATTCCTGTCAACACGGGCGCTGACGGGAAATTGCGGGTCGACCTTAAAATTGGAAGAGGACGACGAATCCAAATCTAAATCATCTTGTTCTTCGTGTTGATTAACCTGGTTCTTGGTGCCTTGAACAATTTAATTTGATCACTTTTATCATCATCATACATCTTAAGTGGTCAATTTAAAACTCCGACAATAATATAAACAGAAAAAGTTAAACCATAAACACAAATCGTATTTAATTATTGGATTAATTTTCTCTCTATCGACAAAAATAAATGGAAATCAAACAAATCAACATGGACCAAATGATCGTGATTTTTTAATTACAAAAATCAAAACACAATTAACATTCTTCATCAACTATATTGATTGTAATCATTTCTAATATTTAAAATGATCAGTTGATTGATATGATTATAATCATTGACTTTTGAACAAATCTGTTAATCAAATAATGGCCTCAAATTTTAAGACATTTCATTCAAATCAAATCAAATCAAATCAAATTAAATCAGTTTAATTACCTATCAAGAGTTATCAAGTCAATCAAATTTAATCAACTGGTCTAAATGGTGAACTTGATTTGATTAAATTAATTGTTTCTCCATCTCGTTGACAGTTAAATTTTTTCCCCTTTCAAATTTATTTCTAGTCCAAAATGTGAATCAATTAATTAATCACAGAGAAATTTACTAATGACTAAATGAATTATTATTCTGTATATAAATAAAGTCAATTAATTGAACAAATTGATTTAATTGTTTTCAGTTTTCTGTTGTGATTGTTAAGTTAAATTGATAACAATCAGCTAACAATTAGTTGTAATTAACAAACTTCCGTTAGTTTGCCTTCAAATAGGTAATTCAGTTACTTAATCAATTAACTTTCACCTTTACCGTTTTCACTTGTGATTAACGACAATTACGTGCACCAATTATCAATAGAATCTTAATTAGTTGATTAGTTAATTAAAACAAGTTATGGTTCAATTGAATGAATTGAGTTGATTTGTAACTGACAAGTTTGATTGTTTCGATTATTCTGGAAGTTAAGCACTTATTACAATCTAAAATTTTTATTGTATTATTTTGTATATTTTTAACTACTGAAAGTGATTAAGAAGATTGAGACAATTTAAATTATAGCTTTAAAAGGAAATTTGAGTGAAAAATAAATGTTCTAGGCTCTTTCGAATTCGTGAAAAGTGCTTTTTGTCGAATTTTGAGTTTAAGTTCGAATTTTCGAAAACTCAGAGAATTTTTCGAAAAAACTTAGGCTCACATATAAAATTAGAACCCTTTTAAATTTGAATACTGAAAAAAAATTGAAATCAGATCAGTTTTCTGGCAATTATTTAATTATAAATTCACCTAACTCTGCGTGGTCCAACCTATTATGTAAATTGATTGATTAAAGACTCAACAGTGAAATTGAATCAGAATTAGATTCAAATGTAATTAGATTGAGTCATGCTAGGGAATAGAAAGAAGGTGTGATGTAGAGAGAAAATCGAAAAGGCGATTGTTACGGTTGCATCGGCAGAGAAAAAAGTTACCTGAGTTCCGAATGGAGACCAGTTGATGATCTTCCATCCTCTTCTCTTTCTCTGTTTCGTATTCTTTCTCAATTTTGTATTAATTTCAATAGATTATTGACAATTTAACTTTTCTTCGACTAATCATCAACCAAATCATCAAATTTCTTCGTTGTTTTTTTTACTCGATTCTCATTTTATCTGATTATAAATTGTTGGCTTTAATTTGGAAGCCATGTTAAGACGACAATTAATCCTCTATTAATTTGAATAGATTATTTTGATAACCAATAGTTTCAAAGTAATTTAATCACATCCAATCAATGGACTGATCTCAGGTTTAGTCTCAAATTGCTCAAGCATAATAATCAAATATGATCAAGGGATTTCTGAGCAATTGTTAAGTTGATGGATTGATAACTTTTTTGAAAATACTTAATTAGTGATTTATTGTTTTTTGAGTTTTTTGGGCTTGATGAATTTAAAAAGTATCTTAAATAAAGGGATTTGATCCATCATTGCAATGGCATTCGGTTCATTACAATAGATTATGATTGAGATTAAAAAGAAAAGTAATCCACCAAAGATTACATGGATTATCGAGTCAGTCCAATTGGAACAGCATAAAGTTGTCTAGAATAGCGGAAATTAAGAATAGAAATTAATTTGATTGATTGATTTTTTCTAAAAGAATAATTTGAGCTAAATTACCTCTGATAATCGAGTTAATCCAAAATAATACCGCTTGCGGCAAGAACTTTGCGGTGTGGAAAATTCCCACCAGCGGGTTCTCTTGTTTTTGACTTAGTACGCATTCGATGATGAATTTGAAGCTGAAATGATTTAGAGAGAGAGAGAGAGAGAGAGAGAGAGAGAGAGAGAGAGAGAGAGAGAGAATTAGATTTAGAAATTATGAGGATCGTAATTAGAAAATATTTTTCTTTCAATTCACCTGAAAATTATACGACAAATCATATTGATACAATTTGCAAGGAT